TTTTGCTCGTGATGGTAATTAGTGAATGATCCTGGTCCCCAGGCAGGGTCAACCCACCACAATCACATTGACTGGAAATTAAATGAGAAGACACCTAAGAACATGTAATAACTTTCTGGAAATTTTTGGTCAAATTAAGTTCTCCATTATGTGGCACACAGCAGTAAAAAGTATTTTACTAGCTCCGTCTTGGGATAACTTACCTTGTAGTTTTGCTACTCACAATTAACAATTGCAAAAACATTCTGATAAAATTCTGGTCACAAACTATACCATTTGCAAATACTTCACATAAAATTGATTCATTTGCACTAACAAATACTTATATTTGAGGGAATATCTTCACCACAGTCCTACAAAACAAGGTAAACGACCTTCAGCTCGTTCAGTGATTAACTTGCATAGGTCTTCTAAGCCACCTCAGTTCACACATGGGAGGTGCACCTGAACAGTCTGAGTTAGGACTGAAGCACTACCCACTTAAAATAAACTCAGCAGCCACATATACTGACCTTCATCAGTACAAACAGCAAAATATCTTAGTAAACAGATACTTCATCCCCAAGTTTTCACCTGTTGCACATTTCCATAGATGGAAGCTTCTTCCATAGCTGTTATCACAATATAAGGCTCATTCATGAACTCCTTTATCAAGTGTGCTATATGTTTATTCCAACGAGTTCCAACAGCAATAATCTGATGCGGTGAATACTCCCACTTTTCAATAATGGCTTTCTTGTAACATTCTAATATAGTAAAAACCTATAAAGGAAAAAAAAAAGCTCTTTTCTATCCTCTTATCCTAGCTCAATGAGTATGTAACAGCAGTGAAAAGTACACTGTTTCAGTACACAGTTTTTTCCAGTCACAAAGACAGCACCACAGCAAAACAAAAATTTCACATCCCAAAAGAGTTTGGTTTGTGCACTTTTACCCTACTACTTGAACAACTTCTGAAGCAAGTCAGAAGAAGCGACAGGACAGCATGAAGGAACAGCATGTGCACACGTACAAGATCATAACACAGGATTCTGCGCAGAGAAGATAGAAATCTCAGGAAAAGGATCTGTTCAAATCTGAAAAATACTAAGCTCAGGCAAAAGCAGATCCAAAAGGTCAGATGCAGCCAGCAAAAACTAGGAGGCAAGCAGAAGATAAGCCCAACCTGAAGTATTCTAGGGCTTTGGTGCAATGAGAATCATAGAGATTCTAACAGATTCTCTCTTAAGAGATTTCACCTGCTTTTCAGAGTTAGAAACACAGCCCTTTATCACCAAGTTTTAAATAAGAAATTTTAACTTAATGATTTTTTAAAAAAGTCCGTAACAGTGAAAAAAGGTATGGAAGCAATTTTTTGCATACTGATGATGTAACATGCTGTAAACAGAAAGCATCTGTCCTACAAAGCCTCAAAGCAGCAATAAAAAAATATGGAGTTCTCGAACGTGAGTTATAAGTCATCATTTTAAAATTAATATATACATTATTGTCAACATGAACCTTAAGGCTGTTCCTCTTCCAAGATCCCCTGAGCTGGCATCAGTTTCTCCTTTTGCCTGCACTGACATTAAGGCCCAAACAAAGCTTTTATGATTACTTCCAAGACTATTTGATCACACCCTCCTGCCTTTCGTTCTACAGAGACCGCAGAGTTTACCAATAAAGACAGTTCTTGAACTGAAGCTGTTCAAACAGCACTGATGAGAGGAAAAAGGAAGTTCCTTACAGACAGATGATGCAAGTCTTTAAAACAGATTAAAGAGCCCCACACTAAAACTAGTGTTACCAAGTTGAAGAAAAAAAAAAACAAGTCCTTTGGAAAGCATCCACAGCAAAGGAACACAGCATAATGGCGCAGTAGCATAGAGTTTTCTGA